AATAAATGTACCATATTATTTTATATTTGCATGTGTTATTTTAGATTTTGATGCATCTATATAATATAATGTTATAGGTATTCAATTAGACACTCCACTCAGTCCACTCCCGTTACAAATAACAATAGGTTGTTATAGTAGCAAATTATCTTTCAACCACTCTCGTACCTTGAATATTATAATATGTTATAAACTTAAATTGAATAATGCAAGCATCTGGGAGAATATTTTGAAAATAAACTATGGATACACATAACTTATAGGTAGGTATATTATATGGGTGACACACCTAAATCACACGCGCACCAGTCAATTATTTTGTAGTCCGTAACCGTATTTCCGTTGGTCATTTCCTGCGAATAATAAAAAATTCACTATCACAATAAAAAACTAACACAACATAATATCATCTCGCATACACGCATAATATTGCAGTAACCTAAAAGTGACGATACCGATGTTGGCCATAACTATAACACCCATTGGCGTGGCGAACGGTAATTTCAGAGGCCTTCGCCTCTGAAATTTTTCTTAAATAGAGGGGTGGGTGGTAGCCAGTGAGTCCCCTAGTAAATTTACTATGATATTCCCAATAGGTATTCAATAACGATCCGAAATATAACTTGTTATATTACATTAATACATTATTATGCATTGGGATAATTGTAACTGGCCTCTGGAAAATTTTTAGTTCGCCACGCCACTGAATTTAACACCATTCCTTTTAAACATTTGTCAGTCACCTTGGCATTTATATAGGTACCCACTTGTGTTTAAAATAAGATTTTCTAAATTAAAGTGTGTATATTGTGTATTGCCCTGAAAAAAACAATAGGTCATAGAATTATAGAAGCATATTGCATGTATAATGTTCCTAGTTCTCAGATTTTGAGAATTTATAAAGTAAGTAATAATAGGTACCTATTGTCCTAGAGGTACATTAACTTATTTATAAACAATTACACACAAAATCAATCTATACCTACCTATACTCTATGCATTTATTGTGTTTATCTATAATCAATAATCAATAATCAATAATCATCAATATGATGTATTGATATTTGATGTGTATTAGACAAAACAAAGAATTTATAACTTGTTTTGAATAGAAATATTATATAATAACTTATTACTGATAAGTATATATTTTAGATTTAGAGTTAAAACATTTTATACATAATTTTAATCCTATATTTGGCATTTTGGCCATTTTTTGTATGTTTAAAATACTTTTTGTTTCGGTATACTCACTTGTTGGCTAATGCACAGTGTTTTTAAATCAGACAAATGGGATTATGAATTGTTGACGTAATTGTTTCTAGGATAGTCTATGTAAATACTAAATGAAACTTAAAATGGCTAGCTCCAAATTGATTCGTTTCCAACCAAAAAAAAACCTTTCTTAACCTTAACCTAAATATATATTAGCATTAGTATCTGTCTATCTCAATATTATTCTTCCATAAATTTGCCAAAGTGAAATATATACATTTAACGTTCAAACTAATTCTTTTCTTTAATTATAATCTATACCTAATTTATTATGACAAATAGAAGTAATAAGTAATAACCAACTAAACATTACATTTCATCGAAAGTATTTTATGTGTACAAAAACCTTAAGCCGGACTGAGTCTACATCTTGTGTGTCGTGTAGAGTTGAATATGTATTTCAACTTGTAAGTAACGAGTTACCAACATTTTGTTACCAATGTATTAAATAAATAAATAAATATACGGAACATGACACGAGTCGGTGTAGTGTAAACTCGATTTTACAGAAGTTTTCTATAATGTATTTATTTTTTATACATAAGATTAATTTTAATATTGGCCAATAAAAATTATGATCTTGTATAAGAGCTTTTTTTTTACTGTAGTTGAATTACTTTTTTACGCTCCCAAATGTTTGTTACCAAGATCGGAAATTGCAGTTGCGTAACATAATTGATATGGAAATTAGGAAAAAAAAACCGTCACGTAACAGTTCTTTGACACTACCTATACAGATTTGATGCTTTCCCATAGTACGTAGATAATATATAATAAGTAACATAAAACGATAACGCATTCGATACGCACATCACTAACCGTGCGGTGGCTATCATTGACATAATCCTATATGAATTTAGAAATTTGTTCTCATCAAGTATTGTTAGTTGTTACCGATATTTTTGGTCCTCAAAAATTATTTTAAATTTAATTTAATGGTATTAAGAAAAAAAAATATACTTCCCAAACAGTAATGGCACCAACCGGCAACCAGATATAAATGTAAAAAAAAATATAGCGACGTAATTAAAATTCGCATTTATAATATTTAGGAGGTACTTTGGAAAAATTAATTCGATTGAAATCATATAAAATGTAATAAGTTAACAACACTTTCGAAAATCTTATTCCGTCTTTATGTAAACGTTTGGTCGTTAATCGTAGATTTATTAAGTTTGTATATTTCAGGCGCCGTGGCAATTTGCTCGGTAGTCGGTAACTATATTAGACATATTATTTGATCGTAACGTACTATTATTATCATTTATCTATGATTAAATAACGAGTTATCATAATGTTATGCAGGTACGAATGTACTTCTTCTTGATCTCGTCGACATCTATTTTATTGTATCTACTATCTAGGTAAAATAATTAATATGTTTTTAAGTCGATAACACTGAATTGTAAATACTATGCTATGTAGGTACTAGTTATATTTTATATTATAGCTAGTATGAAACTATGAACCTAGACACAAACACTAGAGGTGAATGGTGCAAACATTTTTATTGTATAAAATGTATGCCTATATATATGATAATGCATATTTACAATACATTAATACTTATACATTATCAGTTGTAAATAACAATTACAATCAAAATAAAAAAATTAACATTTTAAGTTGTCATGTTATTAGATTGAACAAATAATAATTTTTCTAATCATTTGAGTTGCCTCCCGATGTACCCTAAAGTTTATCGTGATAAAAAATGATATAGGTAGTGCTAGTTGCCTCCTAATGTGCAGGTAAATGAGGTAATAAATGTATAAATGGTTCCTAAACGATTTAAACGTTTTATAAGTCCTATTAATATTATAAATGCGAAAGTCTGTGACTTTGTTACTCTTTCACGTAAAAACTACTGGACCGATCTTGATGAAATTTTTACACTGTGTGTATTTTGTTCCAACTTAAAGCCCGGTCCAGACCAAGAAACATTTGTAGGAAACATATGTTTCTGACATTGTCGTCGACAAATATTTATGAGCGGAAATCGGAAACATTGTCGATGACAATGTTGGAAACACTTGTTTTCGACAAAATTTTCTTTGGTGTGGACGGGGCTTTAGACATAGGCTAATTTTAAAAGGGTGAGGACCAACCCCAGGAGGTGCTCAAACGGGAATTTTTAGATTTCAGATGGAAATTTTTGTTTATAAATGGTTGCCATGGGTTTTTAAGCTATCATAGTAATAATAATAATAATAAAAAAAAAATAAAACATATTTGCTTTACTTTTTAAATATAAATTATATTTAATGGGATTAAATAAATTGATAATTTTAATCGACCGTAGATGGAATTAAGTAAAAACGACAAACTCGGTATAACTTTGATACTTTAGAGTTAAATCATACACTTACGTACAAACAGCACGGGGTCCGCGATCTACTGCAGTCTGCAGGTAGATTGCCTACCTGATAATGTACTGCTGTAATTCAGAATTTTTATTCCGGACAACGGAAAAGTTAAGATAAATTTTGAAAACCGTACACCGAATATTAAATAACGAAGTAAACAAAGTTTGAGTCATATAGAGTTGATACATTTAACGAGCAACGAAGTGCACGGGATCAGCTAGTACATTTATAATTATATTAACGAATGTTTTTTATTGACCAATAATTTATTATATTACTATTTTTAATAACTGTGCATTGTTTGTATTCATGTATTATGTATATGATAATATTATGTACCCAAGACTGATGTTTTTTAATCGTACTATATGATATAAATAATCTAAAAAAAAATGTTTTTAATAATTTTAGTATGAAGTTCTTTATAGACTAAATAAAACCACCTAACCTATAACCTATATGTTTAATGTCTATCGACTATCATTATTATGTCATATTAGGTAGGTATATTAATTTATATTATATTAAATATGCGTAAATATAAATTTATATTTTATAATTATAATATAACACAATATATTATGCATAGGTACATAAATTCATATATTTACGTGGTACTATATTTTAGCGAAGTTTATGAACCACTATTTAATTCTATAATATAGGAGGTAAATAGTGAGAAAAATGTTGGGATACAAATCGTATTCGTATATCATTATGAAATGCCTGATCATTGAATACAATTAGTGTATATTAACCTTTTTACTTACGATGAGGATGGGAGGCAACTAGAATGGACCTTAATAATTATAACATAAATTAACGTGTCGTAATGTTATTGATAATTATATTATTCTAGTAGAAAGTAGTTACAATAAAAATAACAATAGAAATATTCTTTGTGGCGTGAAACTAAAACCAAAATGCATATTTCCTTCCTTGAAAAATAAAAATATTACTTATTAGTTATTACGATAAATCTTTAACATTAAAATCAACATGATATAATATTTATTAATTTAGACTTAATAAGAGCGCCCCGTATTTTCTTGTAGTCTGCAAACTTGACAACACGAATGCTGTTTATTATGCCCGGAGTGACGTATTATTTTTAACTGCTTGCAGTTGTTATAATACATAATAATAATATAATAGTGTCATTATTTAATTTGCTTATATGTATTTTAATTTTTTTAAATTATTCAAAACATTTTATTTTACGACTTAGGTTTATCCTACATTTATAAAAAGAGTCTAGTGTATTTTATTTTTTACTCGGGTATTTTATATCATAAATTATTATTTTAATTATGTACTTATTTTTGTTATTATATTATTATTTATTCATTTTTTTTGCAGTAAAAAGTGAACAAGTCAGCAGCAGCACAAACCTTTATCAAGAACAAAACGTTACTGATTTGATTACATCCAGCTACGGCGTAGGTCCCACTGACGACAATGGTAGACCGTTGTTCGGATTGAGAGCTCTGAGGAAAACCAACGCCAATCAATCGGTCGTGAGCGGTGAGTACAATATTATGCAAACTTCGCTGTATACTTACGCGTTTCACAGATCAATGGTCTATCTATATTTCTACGTTGCGCGTTGTTGTCATTGACACTTGTTGTTTCTTCTCCAGAGAACGATTCGTCGTCGTCTGTCCGTCGCGAAACCGAATCACCCGACACTCGGGCTTCTGATCAAAAACATAAGTCGTTCGGTCTGAGAGCACTTCAATCCGAGAACACGTATACGGTACAAGAGTCGTCGAGCACTGTGTACCAAACAGCGTCCGATCAAAAAGGCGGCGTCGATCAGTTGATCACCGACCATAAGGGCAAACCTCTGTTCGGGCTGAAAGCGTTGCAGAGCATCGGCAAAAACGAAGAAGAACCTATTTACGACGACATGCCGGAACCGCCGGTATCCCCACAGCTAAAGGATCTGGTGCTCAAGCACGAAAAACACGCAAGTACGTCATTTATATAGTGGTTAATGCTCATGGGCGCAACTAGGGTTAAAATTCTGAGGGGGGGGGGGCTTATAAAACTGTTTATTTAAAATAATCCATAGAGGGCTTATATCTAAATTAATAAGAGATATTTTGAGGAGGGCTATATATATTAGTCAGGGGGCTTTGTTTTTGTAAGAGTGATGTCTGCATAATATTAGGTTACATTTTATACAACGATCTTATAATTTTCCAAGTCTACCTATATTATTTAGTGTATAAAAAAGTATATAATATATTATTCAAGATTAATACAATTATTATTATATTTTGTTCGTATGAACTACATCACAAACCTATACCACAAACATTTTTACATAATAGAACTCGTAAAAAGTTATAATTAACATGTATCGATATAATATAGTACATACTGATACATATTTACTATATACTATAACTAACGTCTATAAGTTAAACAAAACTATTATGTTTTTATTGTATCCAAATCGAATAACGAAAAAATATTATGTTTATTTTAGAAGAAAGTTCGAAGTTGGAGTCACAACCTCGACAAAAACCAAAAGCAAAATTCAGAGATAGTTTTATACTTGATACTAAAGATGAGGGTTTGTATTCAACTTTCGAAGAAAATGGATTTACAGACCCCAACGAAATTACTTCGTTGCGTTCGATTATTAAAAAATCAGAAGATGATCAAAACAGTGGTATTTAAAAAAAATTATTGCGGATAATTGGTTTTCAAATAATTCATAAATATTTAAAATGTTTTAGAAACTATAGTTAAAAGTAAAAGTCAATCAACAGTATTTCAATCAAAGAGTGTTATGCGTTCCGATGGATCTGGAAACGTTTCAGTCACACAAGATTTCTTGAAAGGTTAGTACCATCACATGGCCATAATAATATATATTTTCAACTCTTGTCTTATTTATTTAATTGCGTAGTCTTATTAACTTTAATTTTGCAATAAAACTATTGTGAAAAATGTCTAGTTTATATTATATATTATGTTATGTAACAATGACACGTGATTGAGCGTTAGGCTAGGTGAAAATAAAACAAAATAATTCAAGTTGGACTTCGTCCAAAACGTAATTAAAACACAAAAAAACTCGAAGCACTTCAAAAGCCGTTATTTGTGTATGGCAACGGCAAGTGCTAAGACTAGTGCGACTACTAAATTATACGTTCAACTTAGTGCATCATATATTCATATATTTTTAAATGAAACCTTCTTGGGATTGTGTCTTGAATATTGGCCTAGTTTTTAGTTTTATAACATTTTCGTACACATGGCCCATAGTGTTTTTTCTTTTTATCGTAGCTCTTATAATATTTCAAATTTCACAAATACAATGGGAACATAATTTGATTTTATCAGGTACCTAATTTTTTGACAGACTTAACTATAATTTAATTTTTGGATGTTAGGTACCTATACGATTTGAACCGTTACCAGAAATATATTTAATATACTTAGAATATAATTCTATAATTCTGGTTTATGATGTAAAATTAGATATTCAAAAATAGATATTCACATGAATACATGACATAATATTTGATTTGTTATAGGTGAATTGTCTTCTGTGAATGAACAAGAACCATCAGGAAAACTTACTCGGGGACATTATACCTATCAGAGCCCAGACAATTTAGATGCCAAAAAGGGCATTGCTAAAGTCACTACAGTGACAACAGCTATCGGCAAAGATACTGGTCCCCAAATTACTGAAATAACCGAAGAGCTCAGTGAGAATGATCGTGTTGACGGAAATAAAGTAGTAAAAAGAAGCCGAACCAATGATAAATTTGAAAATATCCAGAAAAGGTTTAGCCAAGAAAGTTTTAGTCAAGACAGCAGGCGTTCGTCCAAAGAATTAAATGGACATGAAAAATCTGAAGTATCACCACAATCCACTCCAAGATCAAGCTTGGTGCGCGGAGATTCAATCAAGGCGCTTCAACATAAATTTCAACAAGCCACTGGTAATTTATTATCTATTGGGCAGTGATATTAATTCAACTTAGGTTACAAGTTGGCAGTTGCTGTAACAAATTTACTTTTTAAGTACAGTCGAACTTGGTTAACTTGAGCTTTTTTAATTCCAAATCATCAATATTTTTGCCGGTCCCTGCAATTTTCACATTATGGTATTATCTGTGGATAACTTGAACTTTTTGGACGGCCCCTTCAAACTCGAGTTAACCATATCCAACTGTAATTTGATTGTAAATTAATTACATTTTATTATAAGTACTTTATTCGTAATTTAAGTTACTTTTTTGTGGTGAAAATGAAAATGTTATCTAATTTCATATTTACGATTGTCATTTCTTGGCATTTCTTGTCTCCATCTTACAAATGCGTAACATACAAAATCTAGGCTCAGCAGATCACGTTTAGCTTTGTTAGTTTAAAAATTAAAGTAAATTGACCTATCATAAAATTGGATGGTATGTAGATTATTTGTGTTTGTAGGTGGCTTTTTTACGACAATTCAGTTTTTAAGTGAGTTAGGTATAAGCATTCTTAATTTACATTATATTATATAGATATGCAAAACTTGCTAAAAAATTGGACTTTTGTAAAAAACCCACATGCAAACACAGATGATCTTCTTACCATCAAGTTTCATATAAGGTCAATTCACTCTAATTTTTAAATTAATGAAACTAAAATGATCTGCTGATAAACTTGGTACCTATCTTACACACTTGTAAGACGGAACAACATATAACTGTATATAGCGTCCTCACTCCTCATAAGCTCTGGTAACATTTTTGAAAAAAAAAAATAATAATAAAAAGTTATTTAATATTTTAATTGTAATGAAGTTTCTTATTAAACTCAAAAGTATTATAACTTAACCAAAGAAAAAAAATTACTTGAGAATGATTTAATTACAATTTTGAAAGGTAATTCATAATGTAATTTAATTATCAAAAAAAGTAACTTCCCAATTCTACTATTAAGTATAATGTATTTAGGACATAGGAACCAATTTACTGTAGAGTTATATGTTTTCTTTAATTAATTAATAATTATTTATGGTACTCTTTTAATTTTGAACCATACTCTTTAGAATATTTTATATAGTTTTAATATTCTTATCACTCTAATCTCTCTTTATTATTCTGTGGTTATTCAATTGATACTGAATAATATCATCTTTTCATATTAAAGTGGAACAGTTTCATGTCTATTTTGGTTTTTCTCATGTATAAAATATTATTTAGTATCTTTTATTAGACATTCAATTGATACATAGTAAATTATAATAATTAGAAAAATAATTGTTTTATAAATTAAAAATTATAATAATATGTTAGTAGTATAGTAAGGAATAAACTTTCTAAAAATATTGGAACATAGGTAAAGATTTATGATTTTAATAAAAACTAAAAAAAAACATATTACTTATATTAAAATTTTTTAAAGTAATTTTTTTCTAGTGGTAAAAATACTATTATGCTTTAATTCTTTAATGCTTTATAGTATAATATGATAAATGTAAACCTAAACTAAAGAACTATTTTATATTTCAGTTTCATCTAGCTTGAAACAGAACAAAACGGCTAAATCTGAAATGTCTAGTAACTCACGACAAGTTGAAGAAAAAACAGTAACTACTAAAGTGAATACAACAAAAAACAGTGGAACTGCTACATCCTTCCTTGACAACAATTCAAGAGTGACTGGTGTACAAGATGTTTTAACCAGAATGCGAAATGCCGATCTAGGTAAACAATGATTAATAATATAAAATATAAAATATTAATATCATATGATATAATAAATTGTATTGATTAGTGATTACTTAGAAAATGTCTGTGCTAATCTGAAATTATTTTTTCCAAATATTATAGTTGTTGAAAGTGGTGATACCAATGAAGACATTGAAGCCCGAGCGTTACTTAACAAATTTTTGGGTGCATCAGTCATCCTTCATGGAATGGAACAAGGAAACAAATTGCCTACTTCAAATAACACTACAAGTAGCGCTGCGCTTGTTAACCAAGTTGAAAAACAAAGAGCACAGGTACAACTGTAATATTATATATACTTTAATACATAAATTATAATGTAAAATTAAAAACAAAATTAATAACATCAAAATTGGGGCATTGCTTGATATTATCTACTTGTTAAATATTCATATATTTCTGTATGAGTTATAAATACCTCATAATAATTTAATTTCTAACTTATTCAATAGGCACTAATGTACTTTATATTGATATTTTTTAACACATTATAAAACAAATAGGTACTTACACAATATTATTTATTATTATTCATACAACTACACATTAGTACAAATAGTGACAAATTGGCTAAAAATTAAACATAGGTATTAGGTATCTGATATTACCCGTATGACTATACAGACTAATACCAAACTTGGTAATAGATATCAGGCCAAAACTAGAACACAATAGTTGGAGAGTCGACGGCATAGTCAGCTGCAAGTTATAAATATTTTATATAATTATCATAAGAAATGTGTGTGTAACTACAAGTTAGAACGCAGATACACTGTGGGAAGTGGGAAATATACATTTAGATCGTTTCAAAAGAAAAATAAATATATTTTCTGAAAAGTTATCTTGACATTTTTCAATTTCAGTTTTACCAAGTATTATTAATATCAAATTAATAATTGTAAATAAATTTAATATAATTTATTTTGTATTTTTGCATCCAATAAGTATAAAAGTTCTGGCTGAATAATTTGCGATTTTTTATGTATGCATAATACTGTAAAAAAAATCTTATTTTATGGTATTTATATGTCAGAAAAACATTTAACGGTTGTGTTGATAGTCATTACACAATCTTAGTATTTTACAAATGTTAAAAATAGCTTCATCTTCCATATTTCGTCTTAATGTTATTGTTATTTGTAACTATAAAATAATTATTTAATATAATAAAAATTGTCTGCCTTAAAATTGAATTAGTTTACAAAAATGTTCATAATATTTATCTAATAGGTATATTATATACTTTAAAAAATGTACCCTTTTTAATTTAAGATAATTACTTAACAGCTTATACATAATAAATAAATTACTAGATATTTAAATTATCAGTTTAAGGAGTAGTTAAAAATTCCTTTTACATGATTCTCTGTACCTACTTCATGAGTATTAGTTTGTGTTTATTTATTCTGTCATAACTTTAAAATTGGATCTGGATAGGTACCTATTCGTAACCTTCATGGGACAATGATAGTTGATAATATTATATTAGGTGGTTATTTTGAATATTTTACCATAGTAGGTACTAGGTACCCATATCCTTCGGATAAAATATATTTTACAACCAAGACAAAACAGGTTTATTTATATTGATATAAAACTTTAAAACAATGCATATGTTTTTGTTTTGGTTAGTTTCTTAGTTTAGTTAGTTATATACTTATATACTTATTATATAGTCATAGTGTTTTAAATATAAAAATGATGATTAGGATAAACGTACAAAGTAGAACAAAACATTTAGGTACCTACTATTGGTGCGTATATGGCTATATATAGGCAAACAATGAAGTATGAATTATATATATTATATATATATATATTTTTTTTAAAATTTTTATTATAGAAATTCAATAATCTATACGGTATTTTTGTACAGAAAAAGCATTAGAAAAAGTAAAAAATAATGATAAAAAAAAGAGGCTTGTAAGTTGTAGGCTTGTGGTGAAAGGACAGAGACAGCACTTTGGTAAAATATTATAATATAATCTATTATTTGAGAACCGTTTGGCGTCTGCCACTAAATGATGTCACATACGAGTATACTATATATCAATAATGTATGTATTATAAATTTATAAATACGGAGAATATTTGAATTGCTTTGTGTTTTGATTACGGCGTCAACGCGCCATGGCGCTTAATTGTTTCCCTTGCCTGGTCGTGACGACGTTTTCGGGCATTTGCAGTGTATATTTCGTTTTAAACAATAAACGATCTTATAAGGAAGGATGGGGGGGCCACCTGCCCGTTATTTGGACGTCGTTCGCGAATCGCGATAAATAAGTAAAGACGAAATATGTTGAAAAAAAAAATCGACGTCTTTGTTCAGACGCACGTTTACCGAACATAATACAACGGTCAATAATAGTATTACTACTCTACTAACAGTTAATTTCCCTACCCGTTGGACAACGCATTTTGGCTTTGCGCGTTTCACGACGAAAATAATATTTGAAGGCAAATCCTATTTTGGTCAGCGCGGTGGTTCACTCGACGTCGAATGCTCCGTTGGCCACGCAGTTCAGTTTATACTTGGCTACACGCGCAACTATTTCTGTGTATATTGAGTGTGTCCGTGTCGCTGACAAAAATCGTTTTTAATTTTTTTCTCAGTAAGACGATAAGTGAGAAATTATTCTCACTTAATCATATTTCTCACATTAGATTTTTATTTTTCCGCTCGGTAAGTACCCACGTACAAGTGAGCGCAGTCCGACTTATTGGTGGTTCGCCGTCAATCAATCGATTTTTATTGTTTTACGTTTTATTGTTATCGCTAACCGGCGTAGTTTATAAATTATCATAATATATAGGTACACGATAATATAGGCTACCTACAACGACGTTTGGCAGATTGGTCTGATCGAGTATTTTATAATATAGGTAATAGTTAATAAAACTTAAAATTAATACAGATATGTGATAATAATAAAATATACGATTTTAAGTTGAAAGATAGACAGGTAGGTCATAAAGGTATTACCTACTCCAAAACCTTGCCAGGAATACGAATCGGGCGAACGCGTTTTGTTTTGCAGTCTGTTCTCAGAATGTTAATATTTCCATCCTAAATCTAAATTAAACACATTTAAGGGTTTTCGTTTTTGTTATTTCCAATGGGCAGTTGTGGATTTAACACATGGAAAACCCCAAAATCTTTGGTTCCATGAATATTATTAAGGCAATGTTTGGCCGTGTCCCAACGAATAAAACATGTTGCCAACTATTTTTACAAGTGAATTCATAAATTTGTATTTATGCGTATTGTACACGAGGGTCCTTATTTAGATTGACACCTGTTAACACAATATTGACCGGTTAAATAGAACAAGCTTATTGTGTGTACATTATAATAGCATAATATTATGAACATAATACTATTTGCCATTCGTTTTTTTTTTTTTTGTAGAAATCTCCTGTGATTAGGAAGAACCTAAACGAACAAGAACTCGATAATATTTGGGACGAAAAACAATTACAGATTTTGGTTAGTATCATTATTCAATCATTGTAAAGATAATTTACTTGTACGTTTATTTAACAAATGTTTAATTATTTAGTTGGAATCTTGCCCAGACTACGATCAAAGGAAAAAAATCAGAGCCAGGTTAAGGCAAATCATGGCAGAACATAAAGGTAACATAACTGCATTACAATTAATTTAATTACCAAATTGTCTCATGTTAAATTAGTAATAATTAAAATGATATCTTCGCAATTATTTCATTATTTTATTTACCCAATAAAATATAATATTATAATATTATAATATGTAATATGTATATTTTATTTACAAAAAAAGGACATTTTTATAAAAATATTTATTTAAAATCAAAATGAATAATTTCATCTTGGCCATATTGTAATCATTTTTTTTTATCACAACAGTACAATATAATTTAACTTTAAGATATCCAAAGTTTAGTTGTACAATTTTAAGAAGATAATAATGGTGTTGGATACTTTCCTACTTAATTTTTGTTGTTATTATTATTAGAATTAGATTTGTTTTTCATACCTGCCAAAAATATAATTGCTCAAAATATCTTTGTTATTTTATTATATACCACGCACCTAGGTGTAAAATATGTATAATAGATGAATTACAAGATCAACGTAAAAATAATTATTTAAGTATAATCAAGTAAAATCGTTGGAATACCAAATATTCCTATGGATAATAACATGTTACTGTGGATAAACGTCTTATAAACGTGTAATATTATTAGGTAGGTATTATATTTATTTATACGACCAAAATCTTACGTAAACAAGTATGTCATCTCATTTATAAACATTGTAGAACGATGTCGTCGTATAAGCTACATTAATATGTATAAATGTATACTGTACATATATTTGTATACTATATTCTATTATATATTCTTAATCGCCTACTATATATTTTTTTAAAACAAATTCCACTGGAATTCTGAGATTAGATTCTGGCATCATTTCATTTTGTAACTTAAATTCGGCATAGAGTTGATATTTTTATGTTGGCATTAGATGTTAGGTATATAAAACCAGGACATTTGAAATATTATATTTACGTTAATATATATTGTATTATTAACTATTTCGACGGTTGTTGGTTTTTTGATTGTACAGTATACTTTATAGTAGGTACCTACGATACTGTAATATACACGTAGAATGGATATCTCACGGATATCTAAATAATATTACTCATGGAGTAGATATAGTATGGATACTTGGGCTATCCATTAAATATCCAGTAGATAATATTTGCTGTGTGGGCACCTTGTTTTTTTTGTTTTGATAATGGCGGATGATGTAGGTATCTATTATTCATAATTAATGTAATTTCAGCGTGTACGGACGTCGTCGCCCTGGCTGGCCTTACAGACAACACCACGAGCAACGGAAAAAACGGTGAGTTATTGAAGCCTATGTGTAATTTAAATGTAAAACCTTTTGCGACCGCGGTCGATGACTCGGGTACTGAGTCGGGCGAGGAAGTGAACCAAAAGATATTGGTGCAAGTGCAAGGGGCCTTGGCCAATCTAGAGAGCGCGTTGCCGGCCCTGGACCCGCTCAGGCGTTCGTCCGTTGTCGAACTGCTGACGAAACTGCAGACCAGCCTGAAGTTGTCGTCCGTCGACCAGACCGGAAAACCGACGCCGCCGCCCCGGAAGTGCTGGAACCGGAAGACCGCGGGGCGGCAGGACCGACACACGGTCGGCGTATCGTCCGAGGAGCTGCAGGACGCCAGGCGATGGCTGGAGGAGAACGGATACGGCGGAACCGGGACGCCCGCATCCTCGACACCCGCAGCGGCGTCCGCACGCAACACGCCGCGAAGCTATGAAGTGGCCGCCCCAAAGACGTTCAGGCCAGTTAAATTCGTGCCGCCGCCGCCTAAACGCACCAATCACTTGGCTGAGGACTGCGTCATACCGGAACCGTCTAGACATGCGCTGCAGAACTGCAACTCGTTCGCATGTCCGCCGGCACAGCACGTAATAGTCGAAGACTTGGACTGCAAGAGACGTAAAACTTCCACCACGACGACTATATCGATACGTGATTCGTCCGACTCGTCTGCGGGTGGGTCATCGTCGTCGTCTTCTTCCGGTGACGACGACGACGACGAAGAAGGCAGATCCGTTTCATCGGCACAGCGATTGCTACAGTTCGCGTCCAACGATCATTGCCGCAAGTTACGGGTGCAGGGAAAGCGCGTGAAACTGAAACGCGGTGCGGCCGGTGAGCGGGAACGTTCGTCCGGAGACGACGATGAATACCGGCCGCGGCGCGTCCCGCACGTCAAGGAACCGCCGGCCACTACTTCTAGCGGCGGTGTGCCCTTGTTCGAACCTAAAACGGCCAACGATAAGAAATACTTAGCCCTATTGCGCCACCAGGCCGAGACGGACGAAAAAGCAGCCACAGCGTCGGCTTACAACCCGTTGCAGGGCAAACTACAGGGAAACTGGGGCAACCGTTTTGGTCGGATAAAGACGACGTTCGAAAGGAGGGTTGGCGGCGGTGCGACGACCACCGCGTCTGCCGCTGTGTCACCAAATAGGAACGTAGCGAAAACTTTCTGGCACGACATTTGCAAATGTCCATCGGATGACAGCATCAATTATTACCGATCGAAGAAGATTGCTTCGTTTAAGCCCAACGCCGCCACCGACCAGTGGGCGGGACAGAACCGTGGGTTTTCACACGGCGCCCGGTCCGCGTTCAAGCCGGTTCAGCAGCAGCAACAACAACAACAACAGCAACAACACCAACTTAAACAGCAACAACAGCAGTTCGCGCCACTGAAGCCGGTCCCGAAAATAGAGACGTCGTTATTAGAGCCACCCCGAACAGTCGCTTACCCGAAACGTCTGCCATTGTACAACAGTTCGGTAACCACGGCCCACAGGCCGTTCGTGTACTCAGACGCGTCCGACGAGCCGGTGAGTCCTCCCTCCCCGTATTACGAATGCGTGCCGCAGCCGGCCACTGTGGTCAGTCGGGTTATGGGCAGCCCACAGACGGCCACTTTAGTCAAGAGCAAGCAAAGATCCGATCAGGTTGGTGGCGGCCCGACTCAGTTGTATACGTCGCCGTCGTTAAAAACGATATCGGCGCCGGTCCGCCAGCCCGTGCCAGCAGCATCGTCGGTAAAAGCGATTTCGGCACATCACAAAAGTCAGCCTTCTACTGCGCCCAAACCGCCGACTAGGAGTCCGCGGGTGGTGACACAACAGAGGTCGCCTACCACCTCGCCGGTGCGCATGCCGTCCGTCCTGCAAAAGTCCGAGTCCTGGCACCAGATGATCGTAGGCCAGAGCAGAGCGGCCGCTCGGTCACCGCTCCCACACATACCCGCGGCCGCGCCGGTCAGACACGCGTCCGCCCCGTACGAGGGTTTCATGCAGTGCAAACGAGAGATCGCACAGAAGCAAAGCATTGTACGGCAACACTTGCTTTCCGCCACCGAGTCCTCGTCCGCCTGCAGACGCACGTCTCCGAAAGTGGTCAAACTCAACGACGACATTGACAAAGTGGATGACACGTTCGAAAGCCTTTTCAAAGAGGCCACCAGACCGTCCAAATAGCGCCGGCCAGTCGTTTCTAATTTATGCGATCGTATTTCACAATACCAGTCTGCCCCCACCCCCCACCCCAAACACAATATATATTATTATAATGTCTATAAATTTTATTATTTTTTTTCGTGATATATTTTGCATTTCGTTTTTATTCTTATTCTATATGTTATATATATATATATATTATACGATAATTATTATTTTATACAGCATGATGCGTGCACTTTAGGTATATAATATTATTATGTTTGCGCATTTTTTTTCTAGTCACAACAATAATACTATGTCATTACGTTATATGTATTTAATATTCTAAACTATGTTTCCTAATCGCGTATATCGTTTAACATGTATTTCTTTAATATATTATATACTTACATATATATACACACATATTACACACATTACATCACTGCATTTTGAGGATATCCGAGGAGCGAGTGGATAACATTAAATCGAAGAGTGTCTATTCATCTGTAACAATTCTTCGTGTCTCTATGTGCGCACTGCGTTGAACACCAATAAGTACGTTCTTGTGGTCGTGTCGTTTTGCGTGTGTGTTTTTCATTTAAAAAAGTATTCGCATGAAACCATAACAATATATACAATAGCATCCGAACTTTTCTACTTTACGGGACACTCTTTTTTAGGTTTTTTTGAGAGGGGGGACGCCAGGCGCTGCGCTCGGACAAAAAAATCGGAAATATCCCTCGACTTGCTGTGCAACACCACCTCAAGTTGGTCACAGGGTAACCACCGTATATCCACTCATATAATTTTCCCAACTGTTTATATATACCAAGTGTCGTATACCTTCGAAACTATGTCCGATTCTGACTTCATTATCGTTTTCAGTGTACTCAACTACATAGGTTTCAAAAAATAATTGCAAAAAAATAAAAGGTGTCCCGTAAAGTAGAAATATTATACCCAGGGCAGTATATTATAGTGATTGCTCTTTTGTGCTATAAATAATGATATTATGCTCTCGTAAAAGTCGTGTGATCATAATAATTTACCATCATAACATTATCCCATATGTGTGTGTTGTTGAATCCGCTCGCTCGATTGTCCTCTAGTGTGTATATTATTGCAGCAGAATGACGACTGCAGCTTTTTCCTATCACAAAAAATGCCGCATGTTTTCTTCTTGTTTTTATAATATTTTGTATTAAAACGATATTTAAGCATTTTACTATACCTACTAATAATAATAATATTTTTAATTCAACCCATGGTCTGACGACCGAACGTTTGATGATTTTTTTTTTTTGTTATTGTGTTATTTTTTTATTTTTTAATTATATTTGAGACATATGATATATATATATATATATATATTAATATGTACACGTGTATACGTATGCACAATTTTCAGCATTGTACAATATTGTTTAGCATTTGTGTGCGATGTCAAATTGTACTTATTGCTTTTTACAACTTTTTTTTTACTTTTGTTATAGAAGTTACCGAGTCGAATTCGACGACCGTGTCCAGCAAAACCGGAACTGGATCGTATGTAAAAACTGAAGGTTAGATAACAATCAATTTAATTGTTTAGTTGAACGTTAGTACCTATTTAAAATCCTTTTGATTTTTAGTGCATACTAGGACAACAACTTCTAGTAACCGTCTGACTAAAGGTAATTGGCGGTTTTTGTTTTTATTGATTTAAATAAATTTTTCAACGTCACATGTAAATACTAATTTCAAAATTACTATGTTTACAGCAAATAGCGTTAGTTCTTCACCGTTTGCCAAGTTCCAGCAACTCGAACGCCAGAACTCGGCTCCAAAGTAAGTAATTTGAATTATTATGTCGCAGTTAAATATTAAGATTAATTGTATAAAAAAACTCTTCGAAACCCACCTATCGGATTATTATTATTTCAAATACTAACATTAAACTAAACGCGTAACTTGATTTATTGAATTAAATACATAGAAAGACTGATATAAATATTGATATACTTTCTAGCTTCATAATAATAATATTACATGTTCTTGATTACTTTATTTAACTCTAATTTGGTTCTGGTTGTTGGATAAAAATTTTAATTTCATGTGGGAAATTGGTATACTTAATCTTAAAATCAACGTCTTATAATATTGTTTTTAAAAATAAAAATAAAATTAGAAAATTATTACCATGAGTTATGAATAAATGCTAATTAAAAGTCATACTTAAACGATGTTGTGCAATATTTTAGTATTCAATAATTGGTTGTACCTATTGGTTCACATTCCACATAATTGTGTGTAGGTTACATGTTTGATGAATTGTACGTCATAAAATTTTTTATATCATGGGACACAATTAAACTTTTTTTCAAAAATTATAAATTAAAAAAAATAAAAGCGATCACTTTAAAATATATTTTGTTATTGTTGATGTTTGTTATAAAAATATCCTTTCGACTGTTTTATAGGTATAAAGTGGTAGGTACCTATAAATATCAAAACCATAATACGCAGGCTAGGCTATAATATTATGTATTTACGATATACCTGCCTAATTTTTTTTTATAGAATATTATATATAAACTTTTCTATGTTAACTTCGGCATGTCATGCTTGAATGAATTTTCTACAATAACATATAATAATATAATGGTAACGTATTCGGGGCGTTTTGCTTATAGCTCACAAACGCGTCCTTGCTATAAATTCACCGACCCCGCCTTGGCGCGGAGCGCTTCGTCAATCAAAGATCGCCTACTCAACTGGGTTAAAGCTCAGACGAAGGAATATAAGGTATACATTTTTGTTGTTTTCGTTTTATCAGTTTAGACCGCGTGTGCCTAATATATCATAATAATATCATGTACAATACACATAGTATATATCATGTAGACATGTAATATACAACGTATGACGTCACGGCGGTGTATATTTGTATTTTATGTACTTATGCAGTATGCACTATTATAATATATGAATAATCATAGGCGTGCGCAGACTTCAATTTCTGGTCGAGCTTGGGCAATTATAGTGCTCCTAATTTTTTTTTTAACACATCGACATACATGTTGATTTATTAACCTATTAATGTCTATATATAGTACTGTATAGTTATTGTTATTTGTATTTAGGTGTATGTTTTTGTTAAATACTTAAACGAATAAAATGTATGCAGTGGTACACACAAATATTTTTGATCTGATTATACTTTCACGACAAATTCAATTTCCATGATCTCCACCAACGTATAATTATAATAAAATATATACGCACATTTTACCATGCCCCTGAAAAGTTTCAGGGCTCGCCCGGTGCGCACGCTTATGTGAATAATAATATGTATTAGAATATCTAAGACATAACAGAAAATAACAGCACAGCATTAGTGATAATTAGTAGTATATACCTATACATGTATAATATATTAATATCCTAATAACAATTGGTAACAATTATACGCGTCAACGCATATGGCTTTATTATATCAATTAATATTGGATAAATTACAAATATTAGGTATACATTTTGTTGTTATAACGATGATGCATGTACAAATTAATCGTTTTTTATTTTATTAATTTAATCGTTTTTGTTTGTTTTGCCTATATATTTTATTAACCACGCTGTTTGGGACCTCATAATACGACTTACAAAATACGCGGTGCCTAACTATATACCTATTATATTATTATAACCATTATAATTTTGTTTAAGCTTCACCATTGATATTTTGTGCGATTAAGTTCGCGTTTTCCAACCAATGTTGTCATTAGATGCGTTGTGTTCGACGTGATTATAGTGTATTAATTTATTTTTCCTTGTTGCATGTTTTCCACGACGTTTAGAACCTCCAAGTAACAAATTTCTCGACGTGTTGGAGTGATGGTCTTGCGTTCTGCGCCCTCATCCATCATTTTTACCCGGAAGCATTCGACTACGATAAACTAACACCCGAAAAGCGAAGAGAAAATTTCGAAATTGCATTCAAAGTAGCCGAGTGAGTAGCACGTTGAGTAAATAATAGCATTATTTAGTAGCACATTGTCTTTGTACTACTATAACAACATACTAAATAGATAATAATGTTATATATATATACCGACATTCGCACAGTATGATTGTGTTTTTTCTGTAACGTATTTTTACTTTTACAATGATCGGTAAATTTTATTTTCTGTGAACGTTGATGGCGAAGACAAAAGATCAAAAAATTTCGATTTACCCTATATAATGGCTACATTATAATATTATTATGTAATACATTATATATCTATTGGCCATGAATCATGATAAAGTTTTAATATTATAGTTCCGATAGGTTTTCAGTACCTACCACAAGAGGTGGATTACAAATATTTAATCGTGTAAGCGGTCTAGACAATATGTATGTACCCATACCTAATGTACACCCATCAGGCACGGTTCCTGATACCCATATGGGTTACACTATGTACCGCCATACGTCCTACATTGTACCGTATAAAATATCGTGTCACTTCATTATACGATCACAATATATGCTTCCTTGTCCATTTAATTTGCCGGACAGTATTAATTTTGACTTTGTTCGCTTCTCAGGGACGAAGCAGGTATCGCACCGCTTTTGGACGTCGAAGACATGGTCGTCATGAGGAAACCCGACTGGAAGTGCGTGTTCACTTATGTGCAGACTTTCTACCGGCGATTCCACAACGATCCACGATCCGTCAAACCTTCGTACTTCGAATGATGATTCCTGTTTCATCGTCATGCAGCTACATTTTTGAATGCAGTTCGCTAAAAATTATTACTATTTTATTGTTTTTACTTGAATTTTGTTAAAAAAAAAAAATCTATCATAAACCGTATCGTACCCCTACTATATTTATACTTGGTTAATTCGTCCGCTCGATTGATCAACAAGTGTAGGAACGATTCGTACCTATATAATATTTATATGTGTTACATGTTACATTTTTATTATTTTTTTTGTTTTTGCTGTACATTATTGTACCTACCAATCTAAAATAGTGGGTTTGATTTTCGGCTCTGCCTACATATTTTAAATATTTGGTAGATTACTAACTACTTAGTAATTTAGTATATTATGTATTGTTTTTTTACTCATACCCTCCCCACTAATTTTACAATAATAAATTACTGCTGCCAGTAATATTTCCACGATTGCTCCGGTTAAACGCTAAAAATGATGAATGAGGCCTGTAGGTGATATTATATTTTATCATAGTTTAAATAATTAAGTTATTATTATAATAGACCATAATATATAATATATTTATATGTATAGTGTATACTCGAGCGTCGTTACAACAATAATATAATCTAATATTATTATTTTTACATTTTAATCTCGTCCCTCTCCCTATTATATTTTATGCGAACCACAAGGCGACTTGGTCAAGGTCTTAAAAAACTAAATCAGTTGATTAATTAGGTAGTATATACCTATACATATTATTTTCATCACCCTTTCAAACAATTCGGTATGTTGTTAGGATAATTTTAAACAGCCGATTTCGGCATTGACCAAAAGATAATTAAAATAATATTATATTATTGCCCACTCAGCAATGCCGTAAGAAAAAGTGATAATAATATTTAGTATTGTCTTTGTTAAAATGGCCATCGTGTATCTACATATATTTGTATACATATAATAATATATTTACATGAAATAAATATTATTATATATTATATTAAGTGAATCGATTAACAAGACTAATCTCGATGATAATATTATATAAGCAGAACAACACATATTATTATACTACCTAATTTCCTATATTAAACATTTTTAACTATATCTTATTATTATATTTTATTTTTTGTATATACAATAATAAACGTATGCATATTTTATGTATTATTTTCAAAAGAGCTATACAATTATTAATCTAATATTATATATAAAGTATAATAATATTACCTATTTAACAATTTTACGTTTACCTTTAAGTAAATATTTTTTTTTCTTTATACTTTCTATATTTTATGATATTGTGTATCGAGTATGTATGATATAGATGCATAAATATTACATAATACGGTGTAACTGTTTAAGGTATATAATATGATGCCTAATTATATTTAATACACGCCTATATTATTATTATTATTTTTTTTTTTTTTTCCTATACTCATGGTTGAAATAATGGTAAATAATAAATATGGTTGTATATTTCAACTATGCCTATACAACAATATTTGTCTATAAAAATAGTATTATTAATACCTATAGGCTATAGGCTATAGGTACCATAAAGTACATTAAATTAATTATTTTTCTCAAAAATATGATTATTAATATAATTTATATTGCTTTCATTGAAACGATATTGGCAAGATAATCATAATTTATTATTCTTTATCCACCGGTACTTCTAAGAATATTTGATTGTGTAATTGTTGTTTCTTGATAATTGCTCATATTTTAAAATAACTTTTTATTTATTGTTTTGTTATTGAATTATTTCAATGTTAGTTGAAAAATATTTGAATGAAATATGAAAATATGTGTTTAACTATAAATCCCCAGCAGTGTTACAGTATATTTTGTAAAATTGTTAACAATGGTAGGTATTAGGTAAATAGTAACAAAAGAGGTATACTGATGTACTTAGGTACTTAATATCTATTATATAGAATACAATTTAAAAAAATTACTTTATACTTGTATTCAAATACTTTGTGAGTAAAAATTACATTTCTATATTAGTATTTTTAATAAGTTATGAGACTACTGGTGTTAATATCTCAATACTTTTTTAAAGTATTTTTTAGAAGACTGATTTCTTTAATATTCTATGAAAAATCATTCATATTTTTTGAAAGTTTACAGGTTTATAATAATTTCTGTCATGCCATCAATTTGTATTCACCCTTTTTAGGGTTCCGTACATTAAACGGAAGCCTATTACTTAGGCTCTGCTGTCCATCTGTCACCTGGCTGTACCTCATGAACCATGAAAGTTAGAAAGTAGAAATTTTCACATATGTATTTCCGTGGATGCTATAACAACAAATACTAAAAATCCTTTTTTTCTTTCGAGTTAATCAAGGGACAAAGGAGGAACCGCATTACCATTACTTCTCAATACTAAAAATCCTAGAATATATAATGTAAGAAGTGTTGCCAACATAGCTGATGATGGTACAGAACCCTTTGTGCGCAAATTGGACTTGCACTTGGCCGGTTTTTTATAAAATTGTCTGATAAAACACACAATATTGTTAGTATTTAAACATGAACTTTATTAATACAACCACTATGTATATAAAATATAAATATATAATTGAGTTATATCACTTATTTCATATTTGTAATATTGCATTTTAAAATAATTCAGTACCTATACAGCTACATAGCTACATGATAATCACCACGAAATTGAAAAATTTTATTATTAATAATTTTAAATACAATTTGTCATTTATTACAAAAATTTTTTAAGAAATTAACATCCATATTATTATCTCACTGATTATAGATAGAAGAAAAAGTTTAATATGACCAAATATATTATAATTTATATACAATAAAAAATCGTAAAATATGCATTTGATATATTAAAAATATGCAACAAAAAAGGCAAAAAAATATATGACACTTTAGTACAACTAGTCACAAATACTAAAAAATAGTGTTTTTCAATCGGTCTTAAAAACTATATCAAAAAATTCTTTGACATAATGTCGTTTTGCACTGATAGTTAGTATTTTTGCCTTTAAGCATTTTGAGTGACAAAATGCAAAATAAATTTGTATCACAAACAACACTTAATGCGTGACAACAACTAGGTGTCATTGGTGTCAAAACATAGAACATACACTAATTTTACTGTAAGTAGCAAAGTTATAGAATAATCTTAAATATTAAACGTAATCTACTGTTGCAGTATAATATGAAAATTAATATGAGATATAAAATAAATTACTATTCATATTCCCTACCCAGTAAATTAAATACTAGGGTATTTGTTGAATGAATAATATTCTATTTTCTTCTCTCTCCAACGACTACTGCTAAAATATACCATATCTTGCTTTCTACGTGTTTTTTTATACTCTGTCCCACAGAAAAGCAACTCGTTTTGGGATGTAACTGATGGTATTGAACGTCCTTGGCACTATTACCCTCAATCAAACATAGTTTGTATTTAAGTGCTATACAACGGTGCCGTCCAGAATGTTTGAGTGAGGGAAATAGTGCCTCAGGTCATTCAACACCATCAGTTACGAGTTCCTTCTTTCATGGGACAGAGTATAGTTGAAATATTATGCAATAATATGTATTTCATTCAAAATATGCAAAGTAAAATAACCACATTTTGCTTAAATGTAAAACGATTAGAAGTTACAAAATAAAACATGATGATGCATATAAATCCTAACCCTAATAATGATTCTGTACCTATAGATCTCAAATATATCATAGTATTATGCAGTTACATCTTAATACTCTAATTGACGAAGTATAAGTGATTTTAAAAGCCTAGCTTCACAGGTCACATTGTTCAACTCTTTTTTGCCAGTCGATTCCTCTTCATCAGGCATTGTTGCCACCTCCTTGCCGTGAACTAAAAATTAAAATACAAAACCATAAACAAATCAGTATATTATATTTGTTTGATAATGTTTATTAATAATTTCATATATTACCATGTGTAACAGAATGATTTTACATACGAGTAGTTATATATGAAATAACTTTTGTTCTAATCAATATTTTAAAAAGTTTTCTGTTATATAAATAATTTATGGACGCTTGTGGTACAAGTATAGTATACAATTTTTTATTTTATTTTTTGAAACTTAAGTTAAAATTTTATTAAATATTTAAAAAAAAAAATTGAAAATAGTAAATTTGTAAATATTATATTTAGATAAATGTTTATTTAAGTCAAGAAGTTTATTTTTTATAATTTTTAATTTAGAAATTATACAATCCACATAATATGAAATCAGAAATTATATGATAATTGATAAGCATAAGTGATGTTCTCTCTATATAATATGGTGACTTAATGTTTTGAGGGTAGAACCTAACAGTGAAGGCACTTCGGAGTGAACTTTTTTAAAAATATAATTTTTGGGAATTATCAGACGTAAAAAAATCTTGAATTATTTACTATCCATATTATTTTCATAATTTTTTTTATACATTTAACTATTATCAATTTTTCATTTTTCATTTGTCAGGGATTTCTGTTACATGCTGTATATTATGGTGTGTTACATATTATATTGTGTTCAACTTACATTCACATTGGTTAAGAAACACTAAACATTCATTGTAAAATGAATCTCTCATGACGATTATGTGTTTTGTCATGTTTTCAATCAATGACAACATACATCGTTTAGCATAAAACCTGAAACAATATTGTTTTAATATTACTACCAAATAGTAAAAGCAAAATAATAATATGTTTTAATCTACCATGTGTCCATTCCCAGCTTTTTATTATAAGGTTCTAAACTTTTAATAACTCTTGAAATCCCAAATTCATAATTTCCTTTTGAGCAGTATAAGGTTCTAGAAATCATACATTTTTTACTCTCACTTTAATTATTAAAAGTTATGTATTTTACCCAATAACTAGATTGACTATACAAAGGTGAAAAACTTTTTTTTCGGGCTCTTGATAATATAGTCGCTCTTCTTCCTTTTCAATTTTTCTCATTAACTCTTCAGCTTCTTCGTTTTGTGCAGTCATTATATGAGACACACATAGGTTGGCTAATACAATGGCACTCACTGACAGAATCTGAAAATAGATATTGATCATACATCCAGTTAAATTTTTTTTAATGATTAGAATTTATTTTTTTAATAATGTGTAATTATATTTACATTGTTGTAATTCTTTTTTACAATTGGTTCATAAAATGCAATTGCTTCTTTGAATTTTTCTTGCATAAATAAAACATGAGCTACATGTAATCGCCATGTATCATTTTCATTACAGAACTCAACGGACTTATAAAATATAGTTTCTGCTTGAGCATAGTTTTCTAGATCCCAGTAGATTTTTGCTTGAGCCATCGTGACTGGTATAAATCTACGTAGTATTTAAAAGTAAATTCTAAACAAAGGAGTATCTTATAAATGTATGTATACTTTTCTAGAGTATTTTCATAATCAAGTAAAGCACTCTTAGCTCTTTTATCATCTCTGGCTTCTCTTGACTCTTGTACGGATCGTGTGGCTTTACGCAAAGAATCAACTAATTTATTAGCCATATTGTCAAGTTTGCGATATGCTTCATCGGGGGAAGATTGTTGTGCGATAACAGCATCCACAAATTCCCGTATATACTAAAAATAATATCAATAAATAATAATGTAAATACATCGTGTCAGACTAATTATTTGTTTTTACGTTCGATAGATATTTATCCTTGACTGGTGAATATGTTGAAATGACGTCAGAAGCCAAATCATGGTATCCATGTTTGCAGTATAAAATCATTAGATTTTGTAACGTTTCTTGTGGATAAGTTGACTGCTGCATGAGAAACTGTAGTTTATGAAACCCTTGTGTAGGCGACATGTCCATCGAACACAATGCCTGGTTATGCAATGTGACCGAGTCCAATTCTTCTTCCCATCTTGGTGGCATGTCCGTCATTGCTTCCCTTGCACTATCAACTGAAAAAGAAAATGTCAGGATCATTTACTGAATATTGTTTGAATATATTATTTTTTATTTTACTGTCGTTCTTTTCAAACTGGATTGCAGCTTTCAAATTGAACGCTTCAACCAAGGCTGATTCATGAAGTGTCAGAGTGTTACCGACACTACGAACTTCAATCCCTTCAGTAGTCATGCCAATTCCCAGTTCAGGGTGTTCTCTTATGCCTCTATCGATAATATCACCTTCAAGTAATGTATAATTCTGAATTATTAATTACTAATAACAGTTTCTATTTTCTAATATAATCATAGACCTTATACTAATAGACGGGCAATAGTAGCAGTTCGAATGATAGGATGAAAGGACGCTGCTGGCGGTACACCGTGTACTGCGCACATGCACTTTAATGAGTACAATATTTTTAAAACCGTACCAGACGCAAAGTACGATAAAACATAATGTATTCTATGTGTAGTGTTTAGTACGATAAAATATTATAAATAATAATACATATTTTGTACTTTGTAGTTTAAATTAAGGTCTATTGTCTATGCTTAAACTACATAAGTCACAAATAAGTACCTATGCAATATTATTTTATACAATAGAGATTGTACAGTGGTAAATCTGACATAAGATCTTGCTGCATCACTGTGTTATGTCTCACCGCGGCTCATAGTGCATATGGTATACGGAAGGCTCGTCTATTAGTATAAGGTCTATGAATATAATATTATTAAAAGTCAACCTATGTGTTTCAGTGATGAGGTGAAATCCTTTAGTTTGTAATAGCACAGCGCAACACTGTATGACAAATGGGGCCTGTAGCCAAGCATTGTTTGTGCATTTAAAAATTTCTGTAATGCTTCTTCATACCGGCTCTCCTAAAGAGATTATTTTGTATAGGTCAGTCCTTTAACAAGGTATCAAAATTATTAGCACACCTTGTAGAGAAGGCATCCGTAGTTGATGTCTGTGTCCGGATCATCATTAAGCCCAGAATTGGTTTCCAACAAAGACCGGGCACCCGCTATGTCTTCCATGCCATATCTAATTGCAGCAGTTAGTTTTCGAACCTAACACCGTAACACAGAATAAATACAAGTACCATAATTACTCGCATTGATCATACTTTATTTTCATAACCACTCGTAGTAATTCCGTTCGCTGCTCTCAGAGCATCTTCATATCGTCCAGCAGAGTAAAGTGATTGAGCATGTTGTAGCTTATAATCAGTCTCCTGTGGCCATAGTGCGGCTAGCTGTTCATATATAGTTGATGCGTTTTGGAAGTCATCTGTATAATAGTAGCAGTAGGCTAATAAAGATAAGCCAGGCCTCGTCTGAATGCATTTAAAACGAATAAGTTTTAATTATCTAAAAATATGTATGAACAATGAACATGTTATTTTTATACTTCACAGTATGAAATTTACATTTCTATTGTTATCAGACATGTTGCTAATGATTTCAATAACATCATTATACTGTTTTTCTTTGATCTATATCATAAAAAAATCACAAATTGTGTTTAAATAATGTAATAATAATAATAATACAAATAATCAACTTTTTTTATAGTTTTATTTTTGGATTTACCAATGTGTAAATAACTGCAGTGTAATTACCATCAGCAATTTTTGACATTTTAATTAAATTTTTACAGAAAGAAATTAACAATAATACAATAGTAAAACAATAAAAAACAAAAAATAATATTCAAAGGTTATGAACCTTATAGAATATAAAATAACATTATAGAAACATGGCCATCACAAATGTGCATGGTAACAATATAGTAAGTTGCTATGGATACCGTGTCATAACAATATTTTAATAAATACAATTGAATTTGTAGAATTTGTTGTGTTATCACTTTTTAAGAATAGTTTAAAAATAATAATATTCGCTTTTACAGTCTTATTCACCACATATACAGTGGTATGAAAAAAAAAAAATTATTTATATATTCTAATGATTGTTCAAGCTGATTTTGTACTCATTGTATCAGCATCGCGAATCATAGATAAGTTTAAATCAGAGTCACTATGCGTCAAATCGGATTCCATAATGTCTTCTAATATTTGTGTATTAAGGCATGCCTCCTTTATATCAACCTATTGATATTAAAATAAAATAAGTAATTGAGATTTATTTTTAAAACTTAATAGGTAATGAAACCTAAATAATAAATAATAATAAGCTTTTTAAAAACTGTGGTTTATACTAACATTGCTATTAGCAAACATTGGTGTAGGCCCCAAAGGCGGCACTTCAATCAGCGGCGAAGGTTTATTTTCTTTGTTGTCACTCCAAGACTGCTTTTTACGGATTGGTGGTCTCATTGGACTAGTCGCCATGTCTTGACAGCTTATACCATTTATAATGTGATGATTTTTTATTAAAGACTAAAAATAAAATAATATTTATTTATTTATTTTAAGTTTCAACACCCCAAAGGGGTAAAAGTTAATTATAATTTATAAAGTGTGTATTAAAAATTATATGATGTAAATTAATATTTTCACAAACCGTTTTGTGGAGGTCTATCAATTTGCAAGCTCTTCCTAGTATATAGACTAGATTAACAATTTTCAATGTGACTAGACATGTAAATGTAAAAATTAGTAGAATTATGGAAGCTAGTCTTCCATCAATAGACACACATCTAGTTAGAACCTTAATCATAACTACGCCTAGTGGAATTGGGATGAAGCCCATTCGCCTTGCAACCAAATCCGAGTGATCAGTAAACGCCTGTAAGACAAATTGGATTAATTAAAAATAAATTTAACAATTCGGTAAACTATGAATAATCACCTTTTTATGACGTGACTGTGCAGTATCATAAGCAAAGCTCAATACATAGTCACTGTACACTGACAAGTTTATTTCATTGAATCTAGTAATGAATGCATGTTTTGTCCAATCAATTAACATTTCTGATATCATGACATACATGCAGTCAAGCATTAACTCCCAAAATGATTCTGAAACAGTATAATAAAATATAATATTTGAAAAAATTACAAGAAAATAAATCTTAATCAAAGAAACAAAAATCAAAACCTTAAATTATTTTACAGACAAACATCACAGATAAAATAAAAACAATACATATAGTAATATTATTTAATTTGTTTGGAAAGATAATTTTAGACATTGGCACATTTCTTTTAATTTGTATTCATAAAATAAATTGTTATCTGTTCATAGTGAAATAATTATTAAATACAAACCACTAGTCCATTGGTATTCTTTCATTGTTTGCACTACAACTATTAGTAATAATATGAACAGATGAAATCGTTCACGGACATCACTGCACGATAATTGGAACAAGTTTGTTTTGTCAAACTTTTTGAATACACTTCCTTTCAACTCTACAAACTAGTAAAAATAAAAAAAAAAACGTATTCAGTTATACAATTGCACTCACAGTAAAATATGAAAAAACATTATTTTTCACATTACATTATTGGACATCATGATTGCTAGTAATGCCTTGTGACTAGAATTAATGGCGACATTCAATGTGGTAGCTTGGCATAATACAAGTATACTGTGTAAAACTGATATTGTATGTCAAGGAGAATTTTGGATTGGTTTTAGAACTTTTACTATGTTGGAATTTAATATTAAAATACCTGAGGTACATTTTAAAAGGATACAGACATAAAACACAGCAATAATAAAATGTGGTAAAACTCCAAAGTGTTCACGCCGGCTGGTCTTTGGTTCAGTAGCGGTCCAAAATAATGCATCCAAAATGTCTTGACCAAATGACGAAAATAACCTGTCTCCGACCTTAAGTTGTAAAATATTATAAACATTATGTTCACAAATAAAATGTAGTAAACTAAAAGATATTTGATAATTACCTCTAACATATTAAAAAATATATACAACTTAATAACTGATTGGCTTTTAATTACATGATACATCATTGATGTATCCCATGGCAATAACATCATCGAACATGTTATTAGTACCGCCATCTTTAATAAGTCACATGTCTCTGCTGCAGATAATCGTTTGTTTTTACGTCTGTCCCTAAAAAATAATTTGCGATGCATTTCAAATAATTATAACCGTTTGATGATACTTACTTAAATTTTGAGAAGGAGCTACAAATTAATGATTTTAATGCTACTAATGCCCGTAATGGTAGGAATGTATAGACAAATAGGAATGAATCTGCACACTGAAATTATAACACAATAAAGTTAAATCTATAGACTACCTGGTAACTTACAATATGTTATATACAATATGCAGTAGCGGCTATCATAGGCACCCCTTTCATAATTGGGGTGGGTGGGTTGTAACTATTGGGTTTTTAAAATGAACTTTAAATGTTAGTAGGTTAAAAAGTTTTTTGTGAAATGAGTAATTTTTTAGGTTACCCGAAATACTGGTAGGGGGTAGGTACTAGTTCATTTTAAGTGAGCACCTGTTATATTTGTCGAGATAGCCACCACTGACAATATGTAATATGTTATAAACTACATTTAATAATTGTAAAACACTAATTGAGGCCTGCACACCTGACAAAAGCCATAGAACATGAACCGTTCTACTTCTAAGGGTATTTTCATAAAAGTATACACTTTTTCTCTTCTGTCTGAAAATTCTTTTTCGTCATTTTCTAGAGAATAGCCACGCTTAAATTCTACACTGATAAAATCCCACAAGGAACCTAAAAAAAAATTAAATAAATGTATAATCATTTACATGAATAATTAAATAATATTTTGTGTTGTTTAAAAGTAAGAAGTTAGCTTTAAGGTAATAGTGAAAAATGATTAAGAATAACAAACATTGAAATATTATATTTAATTCAAATTTGAGGGACTTATTCAAAAAATACATTCATAATGTCTCAATTAGTAAAAACTTGGCATTACTCTTCAAGATTAATACAAGATTGATATCTAACCCTAGATGATAAATATTGTTTGATTATAGAAAATATTTAATTACCTATAGAGTATAGACAGTAACTGATAGATAATAATATATTATATACAAATACGGTGTACCTAATATCGAGAGTATTTATATATTTTGTTATGTTTCTACCTATTATATTTTCAAATGTTAAAACTTTAAATAGCTATAGTTAGGTATAATATTTTTGGTTACTGAATATGTTATCACTTATCTGTAACTTGTACATTTTAATGGGTCTTCAATCCATATTTATTTTTAACACTACTTAATTACTATCTTAATTATTATTTTGAAATGTATATTTAATTTTTTTATGCAAATCTTGTATAATTGTTGAGCTATCAGTTTACACCAGAAACTAATAAAAAAAAAAAAAAACAACTAATTAATTTGACTGGTTTTTACATATGAAACATTTTAGAACCTACATTTACAGCAAAAAAAGCAAAAAAGAAAATAATTTAATTAAGTATGATCAAATAATTGTTAAAAAACTTAGGTAATCTTAAACATATTTCAGTAGCCTCACATTAATCACATTTAAAAATTTCACAGGGGCTCGCAATTTATAGTGACGGGTAGAACACAAAAGTAAATAGTAAATTGCCAAATATGAATGAGAATCACAAATCAGGGCGGTTTGAGTCGAGTGGTATGGGCGAACGTACCAGAGTTGCTTGATTTCTTGGTGGAGCTCTCGACTTTGCCCATTTCACGAAATATGATTAAAACTCGCCTTCACTCTGGTTGAGTATGGTACCGGCTTAACTCGACTAGGCAGTGTTAGGCGAAGGCGACAAACAACCGATGAAGATGGACGCTGTATTTAGTCATGAGTCCAACGGCGACAGGGTGACTGCACTACTGCAGCAGTGTCACAGTGAGTAGATTAGCAGAAGTAGTCACTCGACCCGCGTGATATCATCATTATCACTGTCGTGGTTGGAAGTTGAGTGATAGCACTTATCCGAAAATGATAAGGACTCGAAAAATAAATAGATAATAAATAATGATGAGATATTGAGATAATGTATTCGGGTCACAGACTTCTATGCTACAGTATAATATTATAAAAATCTCAAATCTATACAGAAATATAGACAATATAGTACTATATAGAAATCTGTGATTCGGGTATATCGTATATGTACCATATATTTTAATTAAGTGAAAATTTAGTATAATATCTTAAAACGTGAAATCTACCACGAAAACCGAAGCAGTATTATGCAAATCAGTAATTGTACTCTCCGCCGTTCAGGAAAACTGCTGAACTGTTCTGAAACCCCCCATAGGCCATAATTGACCAAAAATTATGAAACTTTGTACACTGCATGAGTTGTACCTTATTTAAATATCATGAAAATTTAAAGTGTCTATACCGTGAAAACCCAAGCCGTTACTTCACATAAGTACCTATGCAAATCAGTAATTGTACGAGCCGTCGTTCAGGAAAATGGCTGAACTGCTCTTAAACCCGTAATAAGTACTTTACCAAAAATTTAAAAAATTTGTACACGGCACGAGTTGTACCGTATTTAAATATCGTACAAATTATGAGTGTACTCACAACGCAGTTCAGTAATTTCTTCACACATGCAAATCAGTGCCTATGCGCGACATGATAAGTATGTTTTGTTGCATTAAAAACATTTCTTGGGCACTTACTAAAATAAAGCCACGTATCACACTAAACAGTGACTTAGATTTATCTACATCCCTGAATTTATGATTAAAATTAAAGGTTTGTCATGGCCTAAGGTTAGCCGTTATTTAAATGTTGAATTGTACAACTCAATAATTTTATAATTTATAATATATTATAAGTGCATTCTTATGACAACTGCTCATATATAATATATTAATATATAGTAAATATGTTTTTAGGGCATTGAATTATCTGCCTACATAATAATGCATCTTTAACATAATATAATAATATGTCTTAAGGTCGAGTAACATTAATTGCCACATATCTGCCTGTGACATCGGTTGTCTCATCTATTGACACCCAAATACATTTATTTTGAACATAGTTCCTAATTTTAGATTCTGAGCGGAGCGATGAATGTATTGATTTTACAATGATGTGTGTTTTTTTTGTGTCTGTGTACACGATAAGTAGTCGAAATAATGCTTCGATTTTCAACTTCAGTATCTTGTTTGATTGGAAAGTGAATATCGTTGGTGCATTGGAGAGGTCAAAGTTTAAAATACCCAGTACTTTTTGGGTAAAGAAAAACCTGACCTAATTCTGCAATATATTTTTTTAAACTAAAACACACATTATTTGCTTAGGCATTTATGTTCCAAAACGAAATTAAATTCAAAATGTAATGAAATTTATAACAAAAATAAAAACAAAAAGTCGGGTAAGTGGATGTCGCTCTGCTGTACAGTAGGTTACAAGTGATTCATTGTATAATGGATTGTATTAAAATTTGAATTCAATGATATTCTATCATTGTATAAGAAAAACGATTCTGAGCGGAGACGGTTTGTCAGTTTAGATATTTTATACTGTCATTAATAATCTATATATATAAAAATGGAGACAAAAAATTCGAAATTGCATCAGTTGAGAACGGCTGGGCCGATTTGTCTCAAATTTTTTTAAGATGTTCGTAATTGCCAGGTGAAGGTTTTTACGAAAGAAAATTTTTAAAAAGTCAACTGAATAATTAGAAAAACTGCAAAAACTATTTATTGATGTCTGGGATTTGAACTCGATACCGTTGTCTTTATTTACTCTATTGTGTATTATATTATATTGGTTGCTATTTGTTAATCGGGCATGTTTGTTGATTTGTATTATTATTTTTTGTAAATATATCTTATCTTTAAATGAATGACGGTGTGTAGATTAGACCTATGGGAAGAAGATACGCTAATTTAAAAAGGGTTAAATTTGGTTTTTTTTATTCATCGGATTTTAGTACGGTTAGGTTAGGTTAGGATTTATAGGTAGGTGGAATTAAGTAAAAACGTCAAACTTGGTACCTATAACTTTGGTACTTTTTGAGTTAAATCATACACTTACGTACAAACAGCACGGGGTTCGCGATCTACCGCAGGTAAATTACCTATCTGATAATGTACTGCTGCAATTCAGAATTTTTATTCCGGGCAACAGAAAAGTTAAGATAAATCTAGAACATCATACACCGAATATTAAATAACGCATTGAACAATGTTTGAGTCATATAGAGTTGGTACATTTAACGGGAAACGAAGTGCACGGGATCTGTGAATAAATAAATAAATAATAAATAAATAATAATAATAATAATAATAAATCTAATAATTGATTTCGATATTGTACAGAAAACTCTTATTAACTATTAGGTATAAGAAATATTCTATACGTTGTAGGTAATACTGAATAAAGCATTTTATATGGATAAAAAAATGTTAATTATTGTGAAAAAATGTGTGTTTTCATTAAAACCTCAATAAATTATGAAATTTTTCTTTGATGTTTTTAAATTTGTTACAACTTAAAAAACAAATTTCTGATTTATATTCTCTTAAGACACCTAAAATATGATGCTAATATTCTCTAAAAAACCTTCAAATATTCTCATTACCTTCTCGTAAAAATTTTAGAAGTATGCAAAAATAATCAATAAATATGAATATCAGTTTAATATCAGTTTATACAATTAAAATATGAAAAAAAATATATAAAGATTTATTAATAATAACATTATTATTTAATCTAAGATGTTTCTTAAAATTATTATTTAGATAATTGAAATTTGTATTTCCTAAATGATCAACAAATTTCTGATTTAGGTATAGGCTTTTTTTGTATAATTTACATTTAAATCATATCTTAAAGATTCACGTTTACTTATATTTATGGATCCAATTGAGAATGATTTTTTGGTATGAAGCCATGAAGGTAATGAATATTTTTTATACAGCAAATTAAGAGGAAGTACACTCAGACTCAGTTCTTTATAATTATCATTAGTAGATCAGACCCGATCTGTTTTATTAAGGCAGATACAAACAGCATTATTTTGTAATGAAATTAGTGGTTTTAGCGTTTTTTCAGAGGCACCACCCCATATAAGTTGTACCATATAGTAGAATAGACTGATATAGTGAAGTGTAAACAATTTTCATTATATCTGAGGAGAGGATTTTGTTGAGACAAAATTGTTTATATACCTACAATAGTTCGTAGGTGCATATTAATATTTAGTAGGTATATGATAGTGTCATTTCATATAACATATTACAATCTATAACATCAAACCTAAATATCTAGTTTATCTTAATTTCACTAAGTAAATTTAATAATTTTAAAATTGAAGTAAGGATAAGTAGGTATGCAAATAACCATAATAATTTTTAATCAGTAGATTTAATAAAATAAGTACCTAACTTTCCTTGAGAAAAAAATTAAATCTATAACTTCTATGTACCTATATAATTTATAATGACACGAACGACGTCAACCTGATAAATTTAAATTTTAAAATTACTAAATTAACTGATATTTATTTACGTAAAAAAAGAAAAACTTAGACAATGGACAGTTGAAAATATAAGATCGAGATTATCTAGGTATAAATAAAAAGATTGTAGAAATAGATTTTATTTTTTTCAATTTTTTTTTTTCAACAATACTTGCTGAGCCTTGTTAGTTACACAGAAATATAAGTGTATAACAATTACATGATTTAACTTTTAAAATAAAATAACAACAAATAAATATATATATTCAAATACTAAAAATATGATAAATACCTAACTACCTATTAATATATTTGCCATACGCATCATTCTAAAGATTAGCTGGTTCTCGAATTGATTGGTGTTGCACTTAGGTAGGTATATGAAAATGGATACATGTGATGAACAGAAGTTGACTGGAGTTCAAAGTTAATCAAAGAAAGTAGAACTGGAGAGTCAATGTAATAGCCATCAATTAGTTAGTTTGAAAGTTACGATTAAGAACTTGGCTCCTATCAGCCAATGAACATAAATCAAGCTTGTGCATATAACCGGATAATAATCATAAGAAGGATGCTCAATATTTAAAATAAAGGCTGCATATACCTACTCAAGTAATTTGCGTTGGACCCTTTCAATTTCTCATTTTCACAAGTAATATAAGGATCCCAAACAATTGCTCCGTATTCCAAAATGGACCTTAGATAGGCACAATAGGTATAAATACTTTAAAGAAGTTAGTAATTTAACTCACTACAAATTATTTTAATAAAACCAATAATTGTTTGGGCTTTGCAACATAAAGTGTCTAAATGAGTATGAAACTTTAATTCACGGTCAAACGTGACCCTTAAGCCGAATACCTACCTACTTTATTAATTTATATTATCAACTCGTAAAGAGATTACTATTGATACAGTAGGAATAATCAAATTTTTCCCTGGATCTATAAAAAGACATTGAGTGACATTTAGAAAAATTAAGTTCCAATCCATGAACCCAAGACACTAAAGAATTAATATAATTTTGCAATGAATGGCAGTCACTAAGTAAATTAATTTTTAAAAATAATTTTAGATCATTAGCAAAAAGAAAAAAGCTGCTGTGGATAATAACTTTTCGTTATTGAGGACAATCTAACTGAGAAACAATAAAGTAACATTCAATCTGAAGCATTTAGTAATCCAATTTATGTTAAAGAAATACACAAAGAGTATACGGACGCACGGTTTAAGTGATTCAAACCC